TCTAAAATAGAGGATTTTTTAGTCGATTTTGAAAGAAAATTAGACAATTTTCAATATTAATTTTTTAAATTAGACGATTTTTTAGTCGATTTTGCATGAAAATTAGACAATCTTCGAGAATATTTTTCTAAATTAGTGAATTTTTTAAGAAAATTTTGAAGGAAAAATTTTCTACCTACAGACCTATAGAAAAAGCTGGAGACGATAGGCACCTGCCCGCTATTTTACAAGAGAAATTTAGAGAATAATTTATTAAATTAGTCGATTCTTTTAGATTCTACAAGATTTTGCTAGAAAGATATAGGTAAATCATTTTCAAGAATAGCTTAATTAGCGAATGGAAAAATTACACTTTTTAATGCAATTTCACAAATTGTTTGCAAGTTTTACAAATTGTACCATTAAATCGTTACTTTAGGAACATTTTAACACTATAACAACACCTCTTCAATCGGCAACTATTTACATCCCTTCATGCATCTAATTGAACACTATTACACTTAGCACAATTTTATGCTATTCTACATCGATTCCGCGAATTTCCCCGACCCCTAGCCACCCGACGAAATATCTAATTTAATTACGCGAGCACATTGAATTCCCCGTTCAGATTATCGCTCGCTCCGGCATCGCATTAGGATCCTCGAAACAGCGACAGAGCATACATCATTTCGTTCGTTCAATAAACAATTAATCCCGCGCCATTGTGGCAGGAGCGGTGATAAATATCGCGAAGTGCGTTCTACGAGAGGCCCCCGATGTTGTTTGAAGTGCACTAGGTGCCAGTCATCGCCGCGGAAAGGGCGCATCCGTCAGGGCTGCAAGCGCAGTGGAGGAGAGTTTTCCCGAAACCTGGAGCCTTATATGTATGTATAGGCGAGATTCCTTGGGTTTTCGTTCGAACAAATATGCAGTTAGCAACGAATGTTTAACGAAAGCAAACAGACCCGCTGCGAGGGATGCGGAGCGTGATGAATTATCTCGTCGTCTTGTCGAGCTTTAATGGGAATTTCGAACGGGTGGGTCTCGCGTAATTAATTACGCGGATGATTTTTGTGTGTTTAACAATTAATATGTATTATAGGTGGAAGGATGTTGGTGGGGATGCGTAGTTTGTGATGAAAATGATGAAATTATTTTCGAATATTGATCTATTTTCTTGCAAAATCTTGTAAAATTAACTAAAAAATTCACTAATTTGGAAAATTATTCTCGAAAATTGTCTAATTTCCTTGCAAAATCGACTAAAAAATCTACTAATTTAGAAAATTATTCTCGAAAATTCTCTAATTTTCTTGCAAATTCTTCTAAAATCAAATAAAAAATTCTCTAATTTAGGAAATTATTCTTGAAAATTGTATAATGAAATTAATTTACTTTCAAAAATCGGTTTTTATAAAGCCAATCAATCAGTCAGCTAGTGGCCCTTACGTTTTTAAAGCATAAAAGTACCAACATATTTATTTAATGGCTAATTAAATCATTTTAATACTTTTAAAAAACCGAATCCCTCGGTATACTTACACCTAAATGGCCCTTCGCCTATCCTCCTCTCGAAATAAATAGTCCTAAATGCAAAGAAGCCCCGCTCGGCTATTTGAATTGTAAATAAAGGATAAGCAGATTGCAAGGTAAATGATATTCTAGAAATATTTCCACTCGGGGCTGGAAATCAAATTAGAAGACATTATTCCAACGGTGTCCCGGAGAAGCATTCCGAAATTAATATACATTTTTGCATTTCAATATGACACCGCCTCGAAAGCGCTGCGGAAAAAAACGCGAATGCAGAAGAACGAAAACGGGCGCCGAAATATAACGAGCGGGGTCGCCGTTCCACGCAGAAATTGCTTTATTAGAACGAAGAAAAAGAGCATTTCTACTTTTGAGATTAAACGGCAGATGCCGTCCGTAAAGCTTGGATATTAAAAACTTTGCCATGTCGAAAATAACATAAAAAAAACTAAATCTTAGGATTTATTTATCCCGTTTTTCGAAAGCTGGAATTGGCTGTAAAATTTTCACTGCAACAGTAAAAATATTGAATAAAATAAACAAGATATGCTGGATAAATTAAGGAAAAATGCACACTATAGTTGGATTATTTATTGACCTAGTGATAGTAAAAAGAATGATCTTGAAATTTACACAAATTACTTTTTTTGTGAAAAGAAATTACAATTGTTATTTTCATAGAAAAATATTTGTGGAGTGGAAACGCCGGTAAGGAAATCTCCTTAAGCATAAAAAACGGGGTGGAAATAAAAAGCGGCTGGAAACGAAAAATCATAACATGTTGTATATAAAACGGAAGCGCGGAAAATTGCGGGATTTCCAACACGACGTGCCGTCAGGTTCGGCTTTGTATTTTATTGGGGAAAAACACGTATTTTTACTCACGCGAACCCGCCCGTTTTCCGGGACGAGCGAAGGAACGTCTCGCGCCTATTGTTGGGGATTCTCCGCGATAATAAACGGAGAGACTCTTGAACCAGCGATTGCCTCGAAGAGAGCGGATTTAATTCTTCGGGGGTTTCAAATGCACTCGAAATCGATTAGAGGAACGTTTTCGAAGTTACACCGGCTTTAAAGCGGCGAACAGGAAGGTCTTTGTGTACAGGGATATTCGATATTTTTTTGGTTGTTTTAGTGATATTTTTTGAGAGAAGATTCTTCATTTAGTTTAATCAACCAATCTCTACCAACTTTCTTGCAAAATCTTGTAAATTTAACTGAAAAATCTCTAATTTAGAAAATTACACTCAAAAATTGTCTAATATTGTTTGTAAAATCTGGCAAAATCACCTGAAAATTCACTAATTTAGCAAATGACCCTTAAAATTTTTTTAATTTGTTTGTAAATTCTTGCCAAATTACTTGAAATATCATCTATTTGAGTAAATTATACTCAAAAATAGTCCAATTCACTTGTAAAATCCTCTTATAAAATCACCTAATTCAATCAAATGTTCTTGCATATAAACTACTAATAGTACACTACACTAGTACACTAATAGTACAATAAATTATTCTAAATCGTTTAATTTACTTTCAAAAATCGGCCTTAATAAAAGTTTTTAATTTAATTTTAAACAAAGGGTTTCTTAAAGTGGTGAAAAGAAAGTTCTTTGTGTACAGGGATATTCGATATGTTTTGGTCGTTTAAGTAATATTTTTTAAGAGACGATTCTTCATTTACATTAACCACACCCAATCTCTACCAACTATCTCACTAATTAACACCCAAAAAAAATCTTCTCCTGCGTTCGACATATGAATTAAAAAAAATCCGTTCCTCGCCGATAACGTACGGCGAAAAGACGGGAAGCTCGATGAAATTTCGCATTAGAAAAGTGGAATTGAATAAACCGCAGGCAATTAGCCCGATCGCGCTTCTTTTGTGTTCCGCTAGGAGCCCAACAAAAGGCTACACACATAATTCACCTAATCCGGGCGACGTGGATGGCCTGTCGATGCAAACTGCACGCGGAGCCTTCTCCGCTGGAAGCCGAATTTCGAATTTTATTTCCCACAAAAAATCCCCGACCAACGTTATGGCAAGACATCGAAATTAACAATTTCCATAACCCGGATAATCCGCTTACCGACTACACGCCGTCGATTTACCGGGCATGAATCTTAAAGTTAATTTCCCTGCTGCCAGTCGTACTTTACGTCTCTGTATCGGTAACGGATGTGCCGAGGACGTATACATATTAAGTAAGCAGCCGGTTATCTATCATATAAATTAGGTTTCCCGTTGGCAGCATAATGAGATTAGTGGATGTGGAGGTTCGGATGAAGTCGGAACAAGAGATAACGATTAGATCAAAGTAGCTAGGTATATACGGCGAGCGCTAATCCCCTAAAAGGAAATTTGATAGATTATCGATCGATATGGCGATTGGAAATCGGGAATTAGCCGTGTTATTCGTATCGGCGGTTTGCGCTGCATGGAAATCTAGTTTTAATGGAATTTTTGCCGGTGGAATTTTTAATAACGAGAATAAAAATTAGCTGTACCTGTAAAACACTGATGAAGAGAATGGTATCAGAGAGTAGAAAGGTAAATATTTCGAATATGCGATAGCTAAAAAAATATATTTTCCGAACAAAGACTCAATAATGACTCAATAAAGTCTCGTAAATGTATCAGAACTAACTGAAAAATGCTCTAATTCAGTATCCTAAAAAATTATCAAATTTAGATGTAGATCCTGCTCCACATTCTGCTTCAGTATATTATTAATTGACCCATTCAGTAATTTCTTCAATCGAAATATTAATGCAATATAACAATCACTTAAAATTAGGCACAAAACCTTTTAAAATCATGAAACAATCTTCCGAAATCTCCAATTTATCTAAGTCGTTTTCCATAATCAATCATCATCCTAAATACACCGATTATAATCACTCATATCGGAGTTTCCTTGCATTAAACACTCACCAATCAGCATATCCTCGAAATCCATTAACCCACCGGGGCTCTTCGCTAACCACACCGCCCGGTTTCGCAACAAATCGCCGCAACAAACCGCAGCAATCACGATCGCCCTGCCGCTACAAATCGACTACAACTCCCCGACGATAAATCACCGTCTTCGCGGAGCGACTTAAGTGCGAATATGATTGATTCAATTGCACGGCGGAGCGTCGGTAGCGTCGGGACGCGTGTCATTCGTCGGTCAAGCGCCGTCCCGGCCTCCGCTCGTTTTTCTTGCCGCTTCCGGGGCCCGTGCCCAGCGACGATTTATCAACTTCTTGACCCTGATTCCCCGCGATCGTTCTTTCGGGATTAAGATAGCGCTTTTCGATCGGCGCGCGGTGTTTTTCCACGATGGGAAAATTGATACTCGCATAAACAGACCGCTCCAAAAAAGTTTAGGGTCTTAAACTGAGCATTGAATGACCTCCAAGTCGGCCAGAGTTATCACTCTTTAGTTTTTAGTGTTACATATACATATGATTAAAACTTTATGAGGAAAATATGAACTTACCTGCCACTGTCATGGGAGAAGACATCATTTGAGTGTGGAAAAGCGGGGCATCGGCTGACACTTCGCATTGAAATAAACCGGAGATGTTTCTTCCAACGGACATTAGGGTTACATTGTGTGCATTGGAAACGCTCACCTGAAACAAGTTTAGAGTAATGGGTAATAATAAATATGAAAAGTTTGGTGTATTTCATAATTATATGATTTTTTGAAACATTAAATAATATGCAATAAAGCAGATTTTAACGCGTCTATTAAATGAACGTATAAAATGGCAATGGAGCGCGTTAAAGTTTGATGATTCTAAAAGTTGAATTTGAATTTCAGCGGAAACTTTCCCGTTTTTCAGCGCCATTTATTTAACGGTAACTCGGCGAAAATTTTCATTATGCAAATATGCGTTTCTATTCGAAGTTAATCTTTTTTCTAATTTATTTCGAATAAAAATGGAAATAAAACTTCCGGCTCGCTCCTCGTCCGATCGCTGCGGAATTAATGACTCGCCATCTAGAATTTATCGCCGTTCTTTTGCCTCGTATCGTTTAATAATTGATTAAAACGGATGATTTTGTGTTCGAGTGATTCGCTAAAAAATTACAAATGAATTCCCCGTCGAGTATTTAGGTAACCAGTCATTTTCCCGCGTCGAAACTCGACGAGAATTCAATTAAGAAAAATTCATTTAAATTAAAAAAAAACCGCGGTGAAATTTAATATCGCCGCGCTTTCTTCGAAACGTCCGATGTTTCCTGATTTTGATTTTTTCCTTGCAGCAATCCATTTCGAGTCGCTTGATTTATCGATTGTTATTTACTGCACAGTCGATGGGAAAGTTTCATTTTTCATTCAGGCTCTTGCGGCGCTCCCACACCGAAACGCGCGCGATAAATCATTTTTTTAACGAAAATTAAATATTTTTTCGTACGCAAAAAATGCACACAATAGCCGGAATCGACAGGTTAGTAGTATAGGGAGTTTTTGCGAATTTGTGCACGAGTAGGGTATGTTAAAATTGCAGTACAAATCTTGGGAGTATATGGACAATTCTAGTTATATTTCCATTAAGAGGAAATCTAGTGATGCTCGATCCTCGATCCTCGAAAAAATATTTGTTTTCTGCTTCTTTTGAATAGCGAAATTCCCGAGCCAGTAAAAAATACATAGGGATATTGGAACGCTTTGGCCCGAAGGTTTTCCGCAATGTTAGTTATACATAGGTAATTACGACGCAGAATGCAAGTTTCGATCAAATTCCAATTAAGCCGGGCTTGCCTATACGAGGAAATCGAAATCGTTCCGTTGGCATCAATTAAATTGGAACCGGCCGTTAATGCACCTACCCTTATCTTTCAATGGCGGATCGATCCGATAACCGAACTTCAAACGGTTCCCATGTTTACCTACAACTTCGCGACGAATTGGAAAATGGGAATAAAAAAGAAAGAAATAATGAAAAAAAAGATTGCGTTCGAAACGGATTCGATTTAAATTCGGCTTTGCTCAATTTGACGATACACAAATTCTTAATTTTGTTGCGTTTAGTCGATTTGATGGGGATGTTTAATTTATGTATAAGCGCGGTGTTTCTCGTTTAGGGCGGATAAATCGCGTGGATTTGTGACCTCAAAAATTATTTATTGGGTCGATAATATCATCGGATTTTTTGGGGATTTCACCGGATTTTTTTCTAAAAGGGATGTTGAGATTTTCACCAGATTTAGGTATTTTGGGGGTTTGAGTGGAATATCACATAAATCATCGGATGGATCATGTGATCATTTAGACAAATACCACTAGATTTAGGGACTTTGCTAGTGTTAGTAGAATATCACTGGATTGTTTTAATGATTTTAATGAGCGATCGTCGTGAGACAAACTGTATATAGTGACTTTAAAGTTACCAGCTAGTCTTTTTTTTATGGAATTAGATATTCCAGCTGTATATAAAAAAAGAATTTAATTTCGCCGGGGAGCGTATGCCGGTAATAAAAAAAAGGGGTTGGCTGGCAGAAAGCTTTGTTCGAGTCGTTACATTGGAATCGGACGGAAGGGCGAATTAATCATTAAGTCGTATTCCGGTCGTTCCTGTCGCAGAGGTGTCTTCGGTCGGAGGAGCCGGAAAATAAAAGAAAATTAAAGCGAAAGGACGCTTCCGCGACGAATTCATTATTAATCACGATCCTTCTTGCCGCCGTAACCGAATCAGAGGCTCGGAGAGAGAGAAGTTCCCTGGATTTCGCCTCTGCTTCTTGCGCGTAATTAAAAATTATTTTTTTTTCTTCTCTCTCCGCCGCGGTTTTCTCCGGGCAAATATTAATTGAGAGGATGAAACTATTTTAATAATTGAAACGGCCGGGATTACGGTCGACGTAAATAAATCGAGAAAACTTCTAATTACCGGAATACTTGTGCAAACTTACCTAGTACACATAATATAATCCTTTAAAAGTACCTCGATAATTAAATATTAATTTGACCCAATTCTTTATACATTAATGTCCTAGAAATCAACTAGTTATTAACTTAGCCGGCGCGATTTTCGATGGCAAAACTCTCGTTAATACTCCTTTTGTATCCTTAATTAACAACTCCATTGTTCTTGCCGCAACGGCAAAATATCGATATCTAGAGCAAGCGCTTCAATTTGTCATTCGCCCATTAATAATAACAAAATGAAGTAGAAACAACAATGCACAATGACGGAGCTCGTTCGCTCGTGTTCGATTCGCACAAAGAACGTTCGGCAAAAATAAACTTAGCGATAATCAATTTTCCGGATATTAATTAATATTCTATTGATAAATAATTTCTAATATACTTTAGTATTAATTTCATGAAATTGTATCGACCAGAAAAAATGTTATTTCGTTCTTTTGGACATTCATTCGTCCTAGTCATTCATCCTTTACCCTTCATCTTTGCTTCTTTACCTTCACACTTCCTTTTTTACACTCCTTTTTTTTCCACCCTTCGTTATTGTTCTTTGTCCTTCATTAACCACAATCCGAATTCTTCCATCAGTTCCACCGACAATTTTACAAGTTATTTATTCGCTGTTCATTAGACACTCAAGCACCTAATCCTGATGCTCAAACTGCAGCTATTCTCCGGTCCTAATGGGTAATTAATATTCCACTCTCTAAGACACAAAACAAAAACGATCAATAAATTTCTTTTGCAAACGACCGGCCGGCGAGTGTTTTCGCGTCCGCCAAGAATAAACTCCTTAATTAAAAGGTGAAATCGCCCAGTTCGGCGGATAAACAAAATTAATTTCTTTTCGCGCGGCCCTTCAGGTGTGATTAAGCACAAAGACCGCTCTAATTAATAATCATTATTATTCAGGAACGGCGGAATTTTATGCCGGCGCTGCTTAACCGCGATAAAATCCGTTACCGCGAAACGTGCCCGCGACTTTATACAACCACCTTTTAACGAGCCGCGCTTCGCGACATTTCGGGCGAATCACTTAACCCAAACCGTTTAATCACCAACAGTTTTTATAAGCAAATTTATTCATTTTAACAATAATAATTAATGCAGGTTACACCTGGTTTTATAACAACTCTAATACCCGAACTCAATCAGTTTATCCAACAGGATGAGGATTAGAATTCAGGCTGGGTGTTGTTGCCGACGTTGGCCCATTCGGGGAAAGTGAAATCCCATATCAGAGGCGCGTAGAGGGGAAAGATCACCAACAGCGGCACCATGCAAGCGAGGTAGGTGCCGCAGCCGGACACCATCATCTCCTTGCCGCCCATCCGGGCGGGCCCCGACACCAGCGCGTTGGGCGGCGTCGACACCGGCAGGAAGTACGAGTAGCAGCAGGCCAGCGCGTTCGACAGCCCCAGCCACATCGGGTGCGTCTGGCGCAAGATGCAAATGTCCAGCAGAATCGGCGTCATGATGGTCACGCAGGCCACGTTGCTCGAGAGGAACTGCGTGATGACCGAGCCCGTGAAGCACACGATGATCAGGTTCAGCAGATTGCTGTCGGTGAGGAACGTCTGCAGGTAGTTGGCCACCACGGTGGTCATGCCGCTCTGCTTGGCCGCGTCCGACATGGCGAAGCCGCCGCCCAGCACCAGCAGCATGTTCCAGTGCATCTTCGAGCTGAAGGGCTTCCACTCGAGCACGCCCTTGGACGACTCGGTCGGGCGCTTCGCCTCGTCCTGGCTGCAGTAGTGCACGAACGTCGGCTCCATGGGGATGATGAAGAAGAGCACGAAGGCGGCTATGGCGACGACGGCGTCGCCGCATTTCACGTCGCTGACGTAGTCGGGCCAGCCCTTCATGAAGCCCGGCCGGCGCAGGAACCAGAACACGATCGACAGGACGAATACAACGGCGACGGCGATTTCGGCGAATTTTAACGGCCCTAATTCCACGATTTTTTGGTCGATCACCACCTTCGCGGCGGCGGCCGCTTCTTTACCGGTGCTCAGGTCTTTGGCGGTTTGGGAGTAGGGCCGGAATAAGCCTAAATAAAGTATTTGCAACCAGAGTAATATGAAAATGTTGCTGATTAGCATCAGAGGTACGTTGAATAGCATCCATTTGGAAAACTCCACACCGGGGCTATCAGGAAAAAGGGTCTCGTACAGTCCTTTATAAGCGAGATGCGAGCCGGAACCGATAATGCAACCGGTACCACCAATAAGCGATGAATAAGAAGAAGTGATGTAATAACACTTTGTGACATTAGTAGGCTTCCAATCCTCCGGAGGCAACGAATCGTCGCGTTTCCACATCGTTATCAACCCCTGGTTCTGCAGGGCCACCAGTATCCCTTCCACAATGGGTATCATCAGCGCCGTGGCGGCCGTATTGGCGATCCACATGGATATGAACATGGTGACCATGCCGAGGCCGATGTGCAGCTTGCAGAAGCTGCAGCCGATGAATTTGATCACGTACAAGGCGATGCGGACGTGCAAACCGGTGGCCTCCATGGCGATGGCGATGGCGACGCTGCCGATCAGCATCATGGTGGTGTCGTTGAGGAAGCTGCGGGCCACCGCGTCGGAGTTCAGCACGCCCAACAGCGGGAATATGATCATGGGGAGGATGGAGGTTATGGCCGCCGGGATGCATTCGGTCATCCAGAAGGCGCTCATCAGGGCGAAGCAGTACATGCATCGATTCGCTTTGGTGTCGTGGCAAAGGAATATGGGCAGGGTGATTATTGGAAATATTAGGGTGAACAGTGTTTTCCAATATATTATCAGGAATTTGAAGACTTTCAACATGTTTTGACGATATCTTTCGCTTGTACGTTATTGACTGACAGGATTTGAAGTTGTCAGGTATGAGTTATCGAGATATTTTATAAGGGGTGTGCATAATTTAATGTGCATGATAATTTCTACTCCCAAAATCACCAAGAAAATTAGTTTCTCTTGAACAACCTACAGCTCCCCATTTCTTCAACAGTACCTACTATTAATGTATGCAGATAACACAGTAAAAAAATGGTCCCAAAGCACTTATAAAAAATCCTACTCACGTCCACGTGTAATCCGGGCAGAGGGAAGACGCGCGTCGGAGGCTCCTCTTTGGGGACATATCTGTAGAATTCCCCGTTATCCCGGTACCATTTCACGGAGTACAGAGGCGCGTCCTCCAGATCGTACTCGCAGCCCAGCGTGACCGAATGTCCTGCGCGTACTGCTCGCGGAACATTTAAACGCATTCCTTTTAAACTTTTGCCACTGCTGATCCCTGAAACAGAAGAGCAGAATATAATTCATCAATAGAAATTTACTGGTTATTGTAAATAGACATATCAAATAGAGATAAAGAATATTCAATTGATACCAAAGAATGTCTATTTGAGACTAAAAAATATCAAAATGTGGCTGCGGAATATCAAATTGAGACTAAAGAATATTCATTTGAAACCAAAGAATGTCTATTTGAGACTGAAGAATATCAAAATGAGGCTAAATAATTTCAAATGTTGACCAAAGAGTATTAAAAAGTGACTAAAGAATGTAAAATTGAGACTGAATAATATTAACTGAGTTCAAAGGAATATCAAGTTGAGACTAAAGAATCTCAACTAAAGACCAAGGAATGGTTATTTAAAACGAAAGAATATTTAGTGGAGACTAAAGAATATCCAATTGAGAATAAAGAATATCAAATTGAGATTGAAGAATATCAAATTGGAACTAAAGACTTGGAGACTATGGAGTATCCAATTAAGAATAAAGAATATCAAAGAAGAATATCAAATTGTGATTAAAGAATATCAAATTGAGACTAAAGAATATCAAAGTGAGACTAAACGGTATTCAAAATTGAGATTAAAGAATACCAAATTGAGACTATACGAATAGCAAATTGAATAATAAATTGAAAAGTCAGAGTAAAATATAGAAGCTGTATTTTTGTTTGTTATTTTTTCTGTCTATTGCTTTATCCAAGGAAACTGAAAATTGACTTCATGAAACTATAACGTCTCGTTCCGCAAGTAGAAAAGCAGCCGTTCGGGGGCGGCTCGAGCGGCGGGAGCGGCGCTTTTCCTTTCAGAGATGCATGAAAATTTCCGTTTTTCGGCCGCTATGATTACAACGGGCCACCGTTTCTTGCAAGTGAATTATTTATGTTCGCCTATCCCCTTCTTTTTCGCGTACATTTTTGCGGAAGCCGTAATTCCGTTAGGCCGCCGCCCCCGTTTACTTATTCAACTTATCCGTCATGAAGCGTATGTGAAGCGACTAATAATGGTTCGGGTTCCGGCCGTTTTTTCCTCTTCTACCTCTTTTTCTTTTTACTTCTCGAAACGTTTCTGACGAATTGAATTTTAAATGAGGCATTCTACTGGTATTATATTTTACCCGTTTGGAATTTATTTACTCAATGAAGAGGCATATTCAATTTATTATAAAGAAATATTATAACAACTTATTTTATTGGAACAAACTAATATTATTTTTTTCACCCTCTACTTTTTACTCATTCAAATTAAACCTCTTTATATCTACCCTAAGGGCCCTTATAGAAAATATTACCTTAATAAGTACTCATACAAGTACACTTCGCATAAAATCTCGAAAATATTCAGAATATTTTTCCTTCATTTAACATTTTAAATACCTCTTCAGAATTACATACGATTCGTCTAGATACCCATTAGTGTATCTGATTTAAGCTCGATTGAATTTCCTGGAAGTTCTGCCGTTCGTTACACGAATTTGCATCTAGGAAAATTCGTTTTTAAGCGTACAATATCGCAGACTTTTCATTTCGCTATTCACTACTTACTCTTTTCGACTGTAAGTAATCTCCGAAGCGGTTGTCTTGATTTTTTTTTGGATTTTCTACCGCTTCGTTCGAGGGCGACATTATGATTGATAAGGCTCAGTTTTAGTGTCGAGTTGATAAAAAAAGTTTAACTATTATAGTGAAATTGGACGATTTTCTTTTAAAGTTGCTGATGGAAGTTATTTGAACTCGGATTGCCGACCAATTAAGATTAATTTTAGTGCAGATGAAACTACTTTAGGTTTATTGCAATATAAAAGAATTAATATACAGGTTGCTCCATTTTTGATCGCAACATAGGTTATATAGGCCATGGGTGCGATAAAGACAACTTCCATTAGACACTTATAAAGGAAAAGGAAAGAATGACATTTATGTCATTGCAACTTTTCACTCTGACAACTGTTATTTTATTAATCTTTCTTTGTTCCACTCATAGAAATGACCATGTTGCAATCGGAAATGGAGCAAACGATATAAAAATAATCACCATGTCGATTTATCTTATAACTTATGCATATATGCTTTTATTTTGCAATAAAAATTCCAATGAAACCCCGGCATTAAACGATGTACCGCTTATGTAATTTAATCAAACGAATTGCACGAAAATCCATTTGTGGAATTAACCCCAATTTTTGCGTTTTTTTATATTTTGTTTACTGCTTCTCTTCATCCTTCCAGTAAATGAAAATAAAATTCGTAAGTAGGTAAAACAGGCGAAAGGTCAGTGAAACATTGGTACAAACATGAACATAAAAGTTTTGCCCCTGACATTTATTAGATTTCAGCGATTTAAGCCGTTTTCGGAGCCCGATACACGAGCTGGTTCTCTATTATATTTATTTATTTCGCCGATAAAGCACGGACGAAAGTTCATTTTATATCTTAATAAACAAGGAATATTTGATTGGACGCGGGCCGCACGGAACAACATCCGACTTTGCTCCGGCGGTTTTATTAAGAATTTTTCAATTTATCAGACTGATATCGGCCGTGTCAGCACCATTTGCTTTTCGAGGTAAGTTATTGAGGTCTGCGGCAGTTTTCACGGCGTGGTAAGTGTCCGCTGCGGTCGTTAGACCTGTCACCCGCCCGTCGTGATAAATTTTTTTTAATAAATATTTTATCATGATTCGTTATTTTGTACCAACAGGCCGGACTCACAGGAAATTGACACTTTTTTTACAAGTACTCTCGAATTTAACCAGAAAATTGATCAAATCTCGTGATCTGGCAACAATGCAATTTTTCAAAAAGCTCCCTGATATTTTGAATTTATTGTTAAACGTACAGGGTGATCTAATCCAAGTAAACAATTCTCCGGTTTGTAGATACAAGACGTTAAAATATCAATAAAAATATTCTTCCATAATGGAATGACGTGCTCAAAGTAAATTAGGCGGATCTAATTACCCTTCATCGATAAGACTCCGAGCTTTAATAACGAAAAAACGCATTGAATATAACGAACTTAATTCCGAAACGGCTTTAATGATAATCTAATCCGGGCGTTCTAACGATATAACGGCGTTACGAAGACAAGATCTCAATCTTAACTAATAATCTCGTCCGCATCGATCGCGCCAAACGGTTATAAAGTTTTCCCTGTAGAAGTTAATTTTCCTTGTCAGAATGCGGACATCCTGCGACGAGCATTTCCATTAATCTGTTTGTCTCCGCACGTAATTACACTTTTTTTTTCCTTTCTGTGTGTTTTTCGGGTCAGATGGAAGAAAGCTTTATTCATTAGTTCGCAAATTTTATTGTGTATAGTTTATTCGTTGATATACAGGGTGTCCCAAATAAAACTTGCATCCCCAAATATTTCGAGGTTTGTTTAATATTAAAAAAAATGCCAAAAATAGGGCAATTTTAACCTACAGGGGGCGTATGAATTTTTATTTTAAAAGTTTTTTCATCTCTCCAGCTCCCAGAACCATTTCTACCGAAAACCAGCTCTTTGAAAAACCTCAAATACCAAATCGTGTCAAGTAATACATCATTTTAAAGCTGCTTTCATTGTCTATAACAACCCTGTTAATTTTTTATAACATCTCTAAATTACTTAGTAGATTAGGTACATTTTATAATCCCGTCATTCCGTCCCATTTCTCCTAAGCATCTTCGAATAAACTCCACCTCATTTAGTGTCATCACCCCGTATTGAAATGCCGGGATATCGCAAAGTATCGATCACCGTTCGGAAGGGCTTAACATTTCCATTACATCTTTGAATTGGAATCGTTGTCGTCCGATGCATACAACAAGCGTTGTCCCCCCGCTGCAGCCGGGCTTCGAGAGAAAATCGATCAACGTCGATGCACGTTATTCCGCGGAGCTTTCCTGCAAATAGGAATCCGATTGACACGTATAGTGATTTTCGCGATTTCTCCCTTCTAGTGTTCCCGCTCGAGTTTTCTAAGTGAAACGTGTAAGTGGGTTGCGAGTATATTCTCTCATCCCCGGCGAGTTGCTGGAATACACCGACAATCGACATATTTATGTTATTGCAGTACAAGTCCTGTTTTGTATTTGAGATTCGGTTCTTTGTGACGAGTAATCTGGTTAGATTATAGAGAATAAAATTTTAGTTGCATAAAACTTTGGTATCGTGCCGAATTTACTGCTATCAAGTAAATGGAGTGTGTAAAATCTTGCAGGAGTTATTGCATGGCTGAGAGAGTTAGAGGGGTTTAAAGGGAGTTAATTCGGTTCGTCGAGTAGTGCATATAAAATCCAATTTTACAATGCAAATATACCGGGTCAGCTTGCATTGATGTGGAATTTAAGTATATTTAGAAGATTCAGCAAGAACCTACAGTTGATAATTTTATTTAGATATTTTGATGGAATAGTCGATTTGTTAGATGAATTTTACAAGTTTTCATATGTGAATTTGACGATTTTCTAGAATATTTTGGCTAAATTTGACGATTTGTCAGATGAATTTAAAATTAAATAAGACAAGATTTTTTGAATCTATCTGAATCTATTCTAAATGATTTTGGACAGTTCTAAATACTTCTAAGATCGTCCTACACTGTTTCAAATGATTCTAATTAATTCTAGAATTGTACAAAATAATTTTGGATAGTTCTAAATATTTCTAAGACCGTGGTGGAGTGTTTCAACTGGTTCTAGTCAGTTTTAACCGTTCTAGATAATTTTATACAATTCCAAATATTTCTAAAATCGTCCTGAACTGTTTCAAATGACCTCAGTCAGTTCAAAAATGGTTCTAAATATTTATGGACAGTTCAAAAGGTTTCTAATACCGTCCTAAACTGTTTCAATTGGTTCTAGCAAGTTCTAAAATGGTTCTAAAAGTAATGGTTGAACAGTTTTAAATGATTTTGAATAGTTCTAAATGGTTTTCAACAGTTATAAACGATTCTAAAACTGTCCTGAACATTTTGAAAACACGAACAAGATATACCCTCTTTCTAGTA